AAAAAATTCAAGAGAATTACTATTTGAATTTTATACAAACAAGAAAAGAATGTTCATATTGTTCCAAATTAGACAATAATAAAAAGTCTAAATTATGATACAAAATAAAATTAAAAATAAAATAAAAGATAGAATAAGAAATATTAATTCCAAAAAAGAAATACAGAAAACGGAAATGACTTTCAGGATATAAATCTCAGATTTCTAACTTTTTGAAATCGTATTAAGAGATGTTTGTGATTTTGGATTTTGTTTATAATGCGGCATGAAGAGAGAGAGAGAGAGGAGAGAGGCCTGCAAAAAGGTTGTTGATATTTCATGGAGTTTGTCCATGGAAAGAAGAAGGTAAATCATAGAGTTCTTTCATAATTGGGTAACAAAAGAAACCAACAATTATGACACTTTGATTCGAACTTAGTATACAAAAAAAAAGACTGTGATGGAGTAGAGAGCCTTGCGAGATGCAATTTATAGAAACATAAAAAAACGACGGTTACAAAGTTTACTTTGGGAAAGTTATATTTAGAAAGAAAAATAATTATTGGGGATAAGAATATCAGGCACGTGCTTGACATGCACATATCCAATACGAAGTAGAAGAATTTGGATAGCAAATAAATAAAAGAAAGAATAAAAAGCATATGTATGTTGAAGTAATTGAACGTAACTTCTCGAACAAACTAAGACTTACCTCAAGTTACAAACTAAGCCACACAAATAATTAATAATGAAATTTACTTATATTATTTATTAATTATTTGGCATAATGAAAAACTAACCAATAACGTCTTTATAGGTGATGATTCTTAAGTGCCTATGCAAGGAAGAAGTTCGGTCCTAATGTTATTTATATCGTGGATGCGGAAGAAAACCAGTCATGGAGTATTATATTACGAACCTTTATTGTAAGGAAGAAGGTGGTGATAGAATAAAGGGTCTTGTCTAATTCAAATTATAGAAACATAATTAAGGAATGAATACCATTTTACTTTTCCAAGGCAAAACAAATTATTAGTGGCAAAAGAATAGGGCATGTATTAGCCATGTATACAACCAATAGTTAAATATGCTAGTGAGGGTGGTCATTTGAAAGAAAGCTTCGACTCAGTAACACGTGTTGCTTCTATAAAAACATTGTTTTAAGCTCCAGTATTGTTTCTATAAAAATTTGTTTGAAGCTTTTTCTATTTACTTGTAGCAATATCGTTGTTGTCACTATGTTCCAACAGTGCTGAAGTATAAAATATTTGTAACTCCATATCTAACATTAAACATTGAAGTAAAAAAAAATATGCTTCTATTATTTAAACTTGAATCGATAACTTTTGGTCCTTTATTTTTTATACTCATGATGAGCCGCAATCGTTTGTCTTTTGTCTTTTGATATTCATGAGATGGATGAGTGGCATGACAATAAATAATAGAATTCAACATGAATACATTAAAGGGAACTTAAGGATGTACCTAACAGGCGATAAAATGAGGGAAAGTAGACTTAAATGGTTTGGTCATGTGCAGTATTGACCTAAAAAACCTTTGGTTTGGAAAGGATATTTGGTTCAAGTGGAAGGCTATATAAAGGCAGGGGAAGGCCCCCAAAGACATGGATAAAAGTTGTGAGATTATATATGATGACTTAGAATTTGACTGATGATATGACCGTTGATAGAGAATAATAACAAAACAAAATTCGTGTAGCCAATCTCAAATAATTATGATAAAGTTTGAATAATAATAATAATAATCATTACCGGTAACAAACGTGTGCACAACCTTGTGTAAATGGATGAAACTACTCAAAAGATGATCTCTCTCACCAACTTCTTCACTATTTTTCCTGTCTTACCTCCTCCTGCATGCACGTTGCTAAGAAGTACGTATCCCCCACATCTTGGGTAATTATTTGGAAGCAACACTCCAGCTCTATGGGCATGAATGAAACCATGGGTAACTATTTGGAAGCAACACTCCGTCACCTCAAGGGCATGAATGAAAACCAATCACAAAATAGAGAAAAATAAACAAGCGAACACAAATCATCCACATTAGAAAAACTAAAATTTATCAAGATATAACTAATTTATCAATTTTAAAATATTTTTTCCATTTTTAAATATTCCAAGTATTGCATTTTGATGGGTTTTGAATTTATATGAAATGGGCTAACTGTTAAAGGGTTTTGATAAATTTCCCTATAAAATAAAAATTAAACAAAAGAAAGGACAAAGAAGATATAAACAATTTTATGTTAAAAACCCTCCTTGTATGGAAAAAACCGTCAGCACCAACCTGAGAATTAACTTTTTGCGAAGTGTTGGTCAACAAGTAATGGCCAATTTATGGGGAATACTTGGAAATTTCATCATATTTGTTAGAGCCCCAAGAGTCTCTGAAGAGAACTCTCGGTGTCCATTATACATTGATTCTCTGAAATATACAACCTCTATGTATATACATCTAATAAACAGTAGGAATAAAAAGTAATCATAAACACTTATACTATACTAGTACTTACCATAAAATGCAGGACATTGCACCTACTCTACCCATACATAGTGATTAGGGTATAAATTTTCTGCAGTAACCTTGTAGGCAATATACATTTTCCTTTACACCTTGCCTCAAACTCAAGACACTTTAAGAGAGAGCAACTACAATTTGGATAATACGTAATAAAAAAGAGTAATGGGGTGAGCCTTTGCGAGGAGATTAGCTACTCAATCTTTCAAACAAACAAAAGGTAGAGTAAGAAAGTTGTGCCACTACAAAACAAATATGAGAGATGAAAATAGTTGAAACTTGAGGTGTTCATTGGGGATAGAAAACCAGTCGGGATTGCTGAAAGAACAAGGAGGCTTGAAGCAGACGATAGATCCTAATCGTCCAAGAAAACAAGTGATCAAAGAACTGCTAGCTGACAGCAATAGACAATATCGAGCAACAAAAGACTCGAGCAGAGAGGAGTAAGGCGAAGATGATCTCAAGCTCTATTACCATATTAAAGTTCCAAAACTTCTCTAAAGAGTTCCCAAGTTTTTCTAAAGAGAACTCTTCGTGTCCATTATTCATTGATTATCTCAGGACTATACAACCACTCTATATATAAATCTAATGAATAATAAGAATGGAAAGAAATCATAAACACATATACTATACTAACACTTATCATAAAATACATGATATTGCACCTACCCAATTCCATACATATTGATTACAATATGCACTCTTCATAATAACTCTATAGACAATATACATTTTCCTTAAACCATGGAAGTAAATTGGTTTTAACATTAAAATTCTAACAAAATCAAACCATGCTGAAACTTCATGATTTATGCCATATGTTTTTAAAGAAAAACAAAGGGAAAGTTTGTGTTGGTAGTGTGGTCCTCTTCCAAAAATCTCTCTTAGAGATGAATTTTAAACTAAACTTTTATAGGCTCAACCACTTTGAATATGGATCTAAAAGAATAGAATTTAGATTTAAAATTTAAGATATATTATTTTAGAAGAACTCAAATGAGTGGTCTATGAAAATTTTAAAGCAACTTTGTTTTTAAAGTTTAAAACAACTTTTCTCAAATTCATGATTGTGTCAGTTGAGATTATCAACCTATTGAATTTTAGATCTAAATTCCACCTTTAAGAAGGGGAAAATTGTTTTATGCGGGCTGGACCGCATTTCTATAATACGCGGTGGATGCAAATTGGTAGTCCATCTAAAAACAATTGAAATTAACGGCCCAAATGTTTTCTTTCTAAAATCATTATTTTAATTTCTTAAAATTTATTTATTTATTTATTTATTTATATTCATGATCTCCATGTATAAAATTATATGTCCTTAAAAATTGGGTCTGAAAATCCATCTCAAAAATAGATAGAAACCGTGTCCTTAATAAATATTTTTGAAGGAGACCGCACTTTAATAGTTTGTTAGCCCGTTGCCGGCAAAACCCCTTCAAAGTCCATTGTTTGAAAAAAGATTATGTAAACCAAATGAAAAACCTAACTAGATTATGACTCTTGGTGTGTAACCAATGAGATTAAATTATATATAACCAATGAGATTCCTATTATATATAACTTAAAGAGAGAAGAACTAGGTGTGCCCTAGTTCGGGGTCACCGACTGGGATAAGTGGAAGGGCTTACTTTGGAGAGAGGCAGGGCCTCCAAAAGGAGAGAAGCTAACTTCTTAGGGAGAAAGTCTGCGATGGTGCCTCTGCAGAAAGAGAGGCTAGTTTTTTATAAAAAAAAATGGTTAAATTGAGATTTTGGATAATATCCCTTTTTAATGAGAGATAATTTTGGTTACTCTCAACTTTTCCTTTCTAGATAGTAGTTAGTCTGTGAAAAATAGAAGGGTGATTGATGGGCGTGGTCAGTTAGGAGAGGTCGTTTAAAAGAATTGTTTAACTAGGGTGTTATCAGGGGTTAGAGAGGTAACTATTCGGCTCATATCAATAATGTAACTCTCACTAATTTAGTGGATTGTGTTTGCCAATGCCCATGGATGTAGCCCCTTTGAGATGATCTGCATAAATTTTTATATTCCTATTGTGTATGTGTTTTTTATGCTTGTTTTATGGTTCACACTTTCTTTCTTTTTTTGTAATTCAGTGGCGATGACGTGCCTCTACCCGTTTTCTGAAATTGTTAGGGATTTTTTAATGCATTAGCTGAGAATAGAAGATTAGACCTTAGACCACCACGACCCCAACCCCATTAAATACATGATCCTGGTGGGATCTCGATATTTCGGGTACCTATTTCCGCATGTGAGAGGGTCTGCAAAAGGAAAACACATTTTTACACAGTTACGAAGGACCAAAGCAAAGCAACCATGTCATTGAAGATTCACTTAAACATCTTTTTTTTTTTTTCTCACCTAAGAGAGAAAGTGACTGCAAACATTGAGAGAGAGAAAGAGAGAGAGAGAGAGAGAGAGAGAGAGAGAGCGCATTGAGCTCTACAACAACCACAACCACCAACAGTACACTACTCAAGCCCATGCATCTTCTTCATCATGCAGACAAACTCATAAACCTTGGATGGTTCAGGAAGAACAGTAGAAACACTTTCTCTCTCCCCACATCTCTTCATCCATGCAGCAAATTTGGGGCACTCATCTGCCAACTTGAAGCCCCCACAGGTCTCATAAGCATAAAACCATGATGCAATAGCGATAGTCGCAATATCGGCAAATCCAAACGTCTCTCCCCCAAAGTATTTCTTCTCTCCTAAGGCCCCTTCCAAGAGTTTGATAGAATCAATGAATTCTTTCTTGGCCTCCTCTTGAGCTTGCCCTTTGCTCCTCCATACGTTGCTTCCCGTTTCGAAAATCTGCACCAATTGTATATGGAAACACATAAAAGAAGGCAAAAGATTATATGCTAGCAGCAGCATATCTTAAGTTCACTCCCTCAGGTAAGACACAGAATAAGAGTATTTTTAGGATTCCAAATTATGAAATGTGAACACCACATCCTAGCGACTAACTTCAAAAAAGAAATTAAAAAAAAAAAAAATTATATGGCCTATGCATTTTCCCTTAAAAAATACCAAACCAAGGTCGAATAAATCATCCAATTTTTGGATATTCAAATCAAGGCATTTCATAACTCAATTTTTTTGATATTTCTATTTTTAAAAATAATCTCTAGTGATTACAAAGTGGATTAAGAATTTTATATCTAAAAATCCTTCTAAGCAGGTCTTAAATATGCATATTCCACTCCCTCAATAACACACCATACGCACTCGTTGAACAATTAGACAAACGAAAACAAAAAAAGGAATTCCTTGGATTTGAAGGGAAGATATCGCTATTCTGTAGTTTTTTTATTGATGCTTAAGTATTTCTTTTATATTTATTTTTAGTTACTTTTTGTGTTTGGCCTACGTCTATAACCATGTTCAGGTACCAAATTTTGGAGGCAAAACAAGAAATAAAATATTCTCAATTTTTGTGAAGAGCGGGTAAAACCCATTTCTGACCTGCCCAAATATGATATCATCAATTCAACACAAACTCCAAACTCTACCTCGTATTTTCATATTGCTTTTTCCAGTGTCTCTCCATTTTCGTCCACCATTTCATTGGATGGTGATGAACCGTAGTACTAATCTTTTTCCTAGTACTTAGGATTATGTACCTTGTGCTTATTGCTTCATCATAGTATTTTCACATGGTATCTTATATTATTAAATCATTTATCTTTAGTACAAAGAGGTCACCATCATCTTTAGTTAGAAAATATAAAAGCGCAAAGTTTGACCTTCAAGCTCAATCAATCAATGACATACCCCCAGCCATCCAATTTCAAATTTAATGGCTAAAAGTAATTATAACGTTTAAGATAAGATAAATAGTCTTATTGCATGCTCTTTTCTTCTTTTTTTCATGTCACTGACAAATGATGAAGCATGCCCGGTCGGAAAACTGTTTTGCAGTAAACTACTCAAATAGCTTAGAACAAAATGATGGCATAGGTTGGAAAATCACATTTCTAGAAAAGATTAATGTGATTTGTATCACTAATCCTTTCAGTGTTGACATACAGAATCACATTTCTAAAGAAGATTGGTATGATTTCCTTAGTACCTTATCAGTGAAATCGGCCCAAAATCGGGCTTGCGCACGCTCGTAGGGGCACTGGGGGAGCAATGGTTTCTCGGGCCATGCATCATCAATGTAATTGAGGATTATAAGAGATTCACAGACAGGCTTGGCATCATGCAGAAGGACTGGCACCTTCTTGTATACAGGGTTTGAAGAGAGGAGTAGATCACTCTTTCCTCCAAATAAATCCTCTTCTTGTCTCTCGAATTCAACTCCCTTTTCGGCGAGGGCGATCCGCGCCCTCATGCCAAAGGGACTCACCCAAAAGTCAAGCAGGCTCACTTTGCTCATTTTGTATTCCTCGCAAAATGATAGTTGTGGGTGTGTGTTACAGAGAGATGGTTTATATATAGGGTGGAGATTAGTGTTTAATTAATTTGTGCTTGTTGGAGTTAACGGATGATGGGTGGAGGACACTATGTTCGTGTTTCACTAAGCCGAGTAGCCGCCAGCTTTCTCCCAAGGAAAAACGATGCCATTCTGCCCTAACTTCGGGTTTTATTGGAGATGTTGTGCCTCTAATCACACTATCAACTTCCCTCAGCTTACGGATTCACCCACACAAGGAACACGGCTAATTCAAATAATAAAAATTATCATTAAAAAAAAAAAAACCAAATTATCTTATGATTGTAAGTGTATTTTCATCATTTTATTTCTCTGATAATTATTTTTTTATACTTTATTTACATGTGAAATGGTTAGATGGACACGTGCCCCAAATTTCGGATAGTATGAGTTTTTGAAAAAATTAAATTAAATTAAATACTATTAAATAATCTTGGTTGTCTAATAGACTTTGGATAGTGATGAGTCATGAGTGACTTATACGTATTTGCAGTGGTATATATGAAAAAAACTCAAAATGCTCGTGAATGAATTTGTACAGTATTTCACTCATGGTTCATTACCATCCAAAGTCCGTCAAATGGTCATGATCGTTTGATAGTGTTTAAATTTTAATAATTCTTTTATACATATGATTAACCTCAAATTTTATGGGGGTATAAGTCTTATTGAGATGTACCTAAATAAAATATAAGAATAATAGTTAGATTAATGAAAATGACTAAATTACTCTAGGAATATTTTAGGGGCGCTTTTTTCATTTTTATAATTTTTTTTAATATTTTATTTTGGTGTGAGACGATTAGATGTATATTGGCCTCAAATTTCAGATAAATCAGATTTCTGGAAAAAGATACTAAAATTCAAGTACTTCTAGATAATCGTGGTTTTCTAGTAGACGTGGATGGTGATGAGCTATGAGAGAGGTATTATAGAAATTCACTTATTTGTAAGTATTATTCGTATATATATGGAAAACACTATAACACACTTGTGAGTGAAGTTCTAGAGTAATTAACTTATAGCTTATCACCATACAAAATCTATCAAAAGATAACGATTGTTTAGGTTTTGATACAAAATCTTTTTAACCTCAAATTTTGTGGGTTGTATTCCTTAGTGAGGTGGACCTAAATAAATTATTAAAAAATAATTCAAATAAAATTACCCCTATGAAAATTATAGGGGTAATTTTTGTCAGATTATATTTTGATAATTGTTTTTAAACGTTTCATTTAGGTGCGAGATGGTTAGATGTATACACGTCCCAAATTTCAGATGAATTGGATTTCTAAAAAAGTAATCACAATTTAAATACCAGTTATCTAATAGACTTTGGATAGTAACAAGTCAAGTATTATAAAAGTTTACTCATAGATGTTTGTAAGTTTACTCATAGATTTCTGTCCAATTGTGTTTAGAACTTTTTAATGATACGTCTCTTTCTTTGGGCTCTACATGTTCGGAGATAACCAATAACTCTGCATTTTACCATCCCATTTGGCCAGAACTCACCACAAAATTTGGAAAATAATACGAGGGGATGAATGTTCTCGTTCTTTTCTGTGTTAGTAAGAGATAGATTCTAACAAATCCAAAAGTTTTTGGTGATTATGGTGATTCATATGTCCCTTTTGATTTTAAATAGTTTTGAGACATGAACACATCTAAATCATTCGAATCTATCTCCGCCTCAAATATGACAACTTGTATCTCAAAACATAATACAAACCTGATGATCTTTGAAGAATTGAAATGAATATCCATAAAACAGTATACAATAATAGGTATATTTGGATACCAATGAAGGTAGCGGATAAGTTTGGTAGAACAGTTGTGAGACTAGTTTTGTTGTATGGGGCAGAATGTTAGACTGACAAAAAATAAAATACCCATAGAATGAGTGTATCGAAAATGAGAATGTTGAGATGGATGAGTGGCAAGACAAGAAGGGATAGAATTTGAAATGAATCCATTCAGAAAATTTTAAGTATGGCATCAATAGGCGATAAGATAAATTAAATTAGACTTAGGTGGGCTGGCCATATGTGGCGCAAACCTAGTACAACATCTGATATGATGTGTGAGTTAGTTCAAGTGGAAGGATTGAAAAGGACAAGAGGTAGACCCAAAAAGATATGGTTGGAAGTAGTCCGAAGAGATATAGGGACTTATGGCCTCAGTGTCAATTGAGCTTTTAAAATAGCATAATGAAAAAAAGATTCGTGCAGCCGACCTCAATTAATTGAAAAAATACTTTGATAATAACGACGATGATGACATACCTGCATTTTCTCCATCACCATGCAACCCATAGATTGGATGTTGATAAAGCAGTCGTTGTTACCATGCCCATATCAATCATTCTATATTTACCTTAAAAAAGTATGGACATGTGATATTTCTAACTAGTAATCCAGATCTAATCAAATCATTTCGCAATCATAAAAAATAATCGCCTAGAATCATCAGTTGATTAGTGAATATGATGAACATAAATCAAGAATGAGAGGTTCACCGCATAGGACTAACTGATTCCATTTAACAATAATGTT